AACTATTTTAATGATGTTAGTATTACTAACTACAATCTTATTTGTCGGAAATTTTTTTAACTAATTTGATGTTGGTTGGCAAGTTTACCAACAAATTACATTTCGCTACTAACTTACCAACACATTTATATTTGGTTGATAAATTTAGCAACACAATCTTGTCGTTGGTAAATGTTTGGTTAGTAATTCATTGGTAATATGTTAATAAATTATATAAATAATTTTTGTCATATTTACCAACCGATACATACTTCGTTGGTAATATTACCAACAAAAGGTGTGCGTTAGTAATATTTCTGTTGGTAATCCATTGATAGAAGGTTGCTAAATTTGGCGCAATTTTTTTCCGCCGTATTTACCAACTAAAATACTTAGTTAGTAAGATTTATTTTGGTAATTTGTTAGAATTTCGTTGTTAAGTTTTAAAATATTATCCGGTTAAAAATATGTTGGTAATTTGCTAGTAGTATACTAACCAACTCAAGTTGTTAGTAAAATCCATTGGCAATTAGAGGTTTTTTTTGTAGTGGTAGCGACAAAGAAATATTTGAAGTACAAGTTAATTATATTCTACCATACAAAATTGAAAGAATCTGAAAACTCAAAAAAAGAAAGTAAAAAAAAATTAATTTTATTAATTTGATTTGATTTATAAATTTAAATCCAACATAAATAATTTGATTTTGTATTAAAAAAAAATCTGAACCAACTTTATTCATGTACACCCCCTAACACTATAAATGCAAAGAATGTAAGTCTCAATAATATTAAAAATCTAGCACACTTCATGAATATAATTTCACATTCATCATAAATAGAGAAGAAATTTTTTTGGGAAGAATCTTAATAGCTCGATTAGTTGAATACCTAAAATTTCACCTTGTTGGTGAAGATTCAATTTCCTACATTGTAATCACTCTGTTGTTTTCCCTTGCTCTGTCCCCATTTTTTTTTTAAAAATAAATAAATAGAAACATTCTTAAAATATACATTTCATTCACAAATACAATTAAGACATGTCACTCTACCATTGAAATGTTACATGAGTAACACAACCAAAAATTTATTTTACCAAATTAGAATTGGTTCAAGCATTATACAATATGTACTGAAATTACATAATCCTTTTGAACTGTAAAAAAAGAATGATGTTGACCAAGAGATGATGAAAAACAAACAAAGATGACCACTTTGAACTTGACAATTAAAAAGTTGTTAAGGTTCCAATGAATGCATCAAGAAAATTAAGTTTGATGTTTGTCTAGTGGATTTGTGATCCAGGATAAAAGTCCATTTTGAAAGGAGTATTTTTGAAAATGAAATGTGTTGATGTGGTGGCCGTCATATCTCAAATTTCTTTTTTCCTTTCTAGGTGAAAGGATGAATGCTTAAAACAATTAATCTAAGCGTGTTTGAACTTTTTTGTTGGTGATAAAGAACATCAGCATGAGAACATATTTAGATTATTATGTATATAGTTGAATATGTAGTGATGAGATATATAGATCATATTTCACTAATAATTATTGGTATCTTGTAAATAAAATAGGTATAATACATAAATATATATTTTCTTTAAGTTGTTTTTAGCTGACATCGATGTCTTTCAAATTTGAGAATGCACAAGACACACTTTAATTTATATAAAATTGAATAACTTAACATATTTTATAAAATATCAGAAACCAACTATAAATGAATGGGCATGAAATTTCGCGGGAACTTGTTACTGAGAGGTAATTAAGTTTCTCATGGGTAGTGGTGTGGGAAATGTGTAAAATAGGTACATATGTCAAGGCCTATGGGGTTCAATAACAAAATAAATAATTAAGAGATAATTATTAATATTATTTAAAGAAAGTTATTTAAATATTGTCATGCGGCTTTACTCGTGAATAAATTGGAAAAAAATATTCCTTTTATTTTTGGGTTAATTTTATAAAAAAATTCAAGAAAATTCACAAGTAATTTACATGTGAAATTTAAATCATTAGGTAAATTAGTTGGAAATTTTGAAATTCATAGAAAATAATTACCTACGAAGATTTTACCTTTGGATTCTTTTATATAGAAAAATTCGTATGAAACTTATTTCCCTACTAATTTTTTATATGTAATCCCCAGAAAAATTCTCATGCAGTTCAGATTTTTCTTGTATTGTTCATTGTATGTATCATTATGCATGATAATTTTATATCCTATCCAATATCTTATGTATATTATATCATGTAGGATATATTTCTATTTATTTAATTTTATACAAATTAAAATATATATTTATATACATCCAAAATTAAAATAAATATATAGCAAACTAAAGTTGAATTAAAGGCAATCATTTAGATTGTATTTAACAATTGAATAAAAAGAATTGATTGGTTAGGCAACCACTCCCTTGGAATTTAGCAATGCCTATGAGTAGTTTTGTGTGGATAAGTCAAGTAGAACATTATACATTTGTCGTTAATATGTGATGTGAAGCCTTACCCCACCCCACCCACATCACCATTCCTTTAAAGATGGTTGGCCCAATATGTAATGCTCAATGCCATAAAAGGTAGGTAGTTATGTCCAACCTTTACTTGGCAAAAACAAAGGCTTGGTTTCTTCCACGCCTTTCCGGTCTTCTCTTTTTCTATATATATATATATACTTTTTCTTCTCTAGTTTAAAAAAAAAAAACTAAATAAATACTATTATTTTATATTTATTCTCTACTAAATAATTACAATATCTATCCCCAATTAATTTCCCTTAATTGATATTATGAACTTATTTGTTTGCATTTAATGGAGATCTGAAACTTAATCATTCATATTTATCTCATTAAGTGTGTTTATTTTTAGGATTGAATCTTAATTATTCAGATTTAGTGCATTAAATTTGTTCATTTTAATTTCTTATAAGTCTCATAATGAGTGTGAATAGATCTGAATGAATCAGAATTGTACACAACCTTATCACCATTCAGACTCAAAAGTAAGATTTCTATCTTAATTCAACTATATCATAACAAGTCATAAAAGTCACGTTGTTTTATTATTTAGTTAGTCTTAATTACATGCCTACCGTTATAAGTTTCTTTATTCTTACATCTTAATATACACCTTTTACTTTCGTAAATTAATCAATATATTTGAATTGATCAGCACTATTATGGTATAATATTTGCATGGTTTTAGAAAATAAGAAAATATTAACTATTTGATTCATAACAATAACATATATCTGTTAGTCTCTTCGTTTAAAAAAGAATGACCATATTTCCTTTTTAGTTTGTTTAAAAAGGGAAAAAACCCTTTCCTTTTTTGGCAACAATATAACTTTAACTTTTCATACGACATGTTTAAGACCACAAGATTAAAGGGCATTTTGGTACTTTCGACATAACTTTAGTTTATAACCACAAGATTAAAAAATCTTCTTTCTTTTCTTAAACTTCATTCCAAGTCAAACTAGGTCATCCTTTTTGAAATAGAGGAGTATAAAATAAAATGTTTACATAAACAATATATTACTACTCTATATAAACTATTTTGCATTGTTACAAAAAATATTCAACATATTATTTTCAGTTTAAAATAATATTTTACTAAAATGAATAGCTTAAATTTCATATGCATGCATATTTAGATTGAAACAAACAATCCTAATAATTTAATGTTCAGTTTTAGAGACAACATCTTATGTGTATTCAGATTTATGCATCTAGATCTTACTGTACATCTTAATATTAAAATGTTTATTCAGATTCAGAGCTCTTAATCTTAATAAAAACAAATAAAGCCTAAATCGATAGCATATATTATATTAATAAAAAATGAATTCAATCAAATATGATTGAGTAAAATGATTATAACCCATTTTAATCTCCTAAAGCCGAAATATATTAAATCAAATCTATATTGTTAATACCTCAACCACTGCTACTCCACCCCACCCCACCCCCACCCACCCCTATATTATTATTATTATTAATTTTTTTTCTATCATGTACCCCACCCCAGCACCACCACCTCTCCACCCCCAAAATATCTTCCAAAAAAAAACTTAATTTTTATAAAAGTCTATATTTGTATGAGCTTGTAAATAAATTGAAGTTCATATCTAATTATTTAAGAAAATATGAGTGATTCATTTAATTTAATATAGGAAAAATTAATCAATTTTACTTAGATGGGCTTAGTTGAGTTGAGATTGTTTTTCAGAGAATGAGTATTTGTTAAATTACTTTGAATTGAGATATGAACATGTAATTACTTTGAGTTTTATGATCCATTTATGTAGTTTTTTGTAATGTGTTTTTTCTTTGTTAAATTTTTTATTTTTATTATATTTTATCTGTACCAAAAGCATGAGATACACTTGTTGCACATGCGTTCGAGAACTAATTCACAAAAACACATGCAGAAATGCAATCACAATATATAATTAAAGTCAAGGTTGATATTCAAAACAATAGTGTCTTTACTTCATTTTGAGATCCTTGCTTTTGTCGATCACGGCAAATGTACTCAATACATTTTGATATCCTTTCTGGTCTTATTTTGCTGCGTCCATGAGTTGATCATTTCAAAATTTAGATTTTGCAAATTAACCTTTAAAGTGCTTCACATTAAATTTATGTGGAATTATGAATTCAAAGTTATGTAACTTTTTTTTCCTCGAGTACTAACTACAAACACTTGCATTTTCAATATTAATTGGTCATTGATTTAATTTTTTGAAAAAGTAAAATGTACATAATTAGAAAGTAGATAATTGAAAAGTTTACATTTCAGTTTAGATTATTGCCAAGAATATTTCGAATTTTTTTTATAAGTATTGTTTGGTAATATAACTTGTCATTATATTAGTAGAAATATGGAGTATATATTTTATAAGGTCTTTCAACTTATATTACAAAGTCATTTAACTTTATTTTATATCAATAAATCACTTTTTTTTTTCTTATAAAATCACTCACCCAAGGTTAACATTAAATAAAATCACATAACAAAGTAATTTTTTTTTTTTAATTTCATATATACATCAATCTTTAGTTTGACAAATGGTCCCATCTAAAATAAGATTTCAACTAAAACAGAATTGAAGAATTTATTTTTTCCTTCAAATAGCTAGTCTCGAAGATCTGCAAACTGGAGCAAAGGTCATGATGATATATTGAAGCCTTGATGGTAAAATTGCCTGTTTTCTAAAATAAAAATAAAAATATAAGGTTTACTGAATTTTATTTTGTTATAATTTTAGTAATAATAATTTATAAATTTTAAATTCTAATCCATTTATGTATATAATAATAATAATAATGATATAATTTTACCGTTGAGCTCACTAATTTTCATTAGTCAAAAGTAGTAAATAGTTATTGAGGCAATCAAGAAAAGTTAAGATATGATATTGAAATGAGAAAATAAAATAGGAATGTTTGAAAGTGAATAATAATTTTAATTATGAGGCGTAGAGATTTAGATCTCCAAGGGTTGGTAGCTTACGAGTTAGAATCTAAAAGTTGTGTGCCCATGGAAAGTGTTGGTGTGAGAGATAACTTGTCCTACAGATAGATCTTGATTGTTAGGTTGAGGAGAATCAGAGTCTTTAATTTTCCCTCTGCTCCAATTGGAGTTCCTATTTTGGATTCATTCATTAACTATTCTCATATGCGCATGTCCATTTCTTAGCCTCTATATCACTCTCCTCAGTTTGTGTGTTTTGTTACATATCTTAGAGAAAAATATGAAAGGTTGCAAATCAGGTGGCATTGCTGGTAGCTACGGTAAAACTATTCATAGTGACAGACTAAGTTCGTCCTTATGCCCTATATCAAAATTTAGTAAGTTAAATCTAGAGTTTTACTCAATGTTCCATGAATTCTGAGTTCTAATTTCTTATTATTGAGATTATACTACTTCATGCATTTTGATTTTGAATTGTTGTTCATGCCTATTTATTCACATGAATCCTACTTAGTTGATAAGTGTTGAAAGCTTTTCCATAACTATTTTCAGTCATTGATTTTTAAATTAAAGTAAATTCAAGCATTTTAAGTGATCATTTTTTAGAAGAATTTTAAGGGACACCAATGGTTCCAAATGCATTATTTTGTATTGAGAAAAACATTATAAATTTAAGAAGAGCATATATAGTTTCAGAAGAAGTTTCAATCAGTAAAGTAGAAATTAGTTTTTCCCAAAGAGGCCTTTGAATATTAAACTCAACATAATTATTATTATTATTATTATTATTATTATTATTATTATTATTATTATTATTATTATTATTATTATTATTATTATTATTATTATTATTATTATCAGGAGCACAATGCAGAGAGTAGTATTAAACATCTATTTAGGTAAGAGCTTAAGACAACCAAACCCCATAAACAACATTGCTAGTGTATATAGGATTGTGTCGTTAATTTGGGCAATTCCTCACAAACCTCGTAGAGGAATTTTTAGATGGATTCATAAGTTGAGTTTTTTTGTGGTTCCGCCAACGTGGGCAAGACATTGTACCCTTACGAGACTCATAGTGATGGTTGTCATATATAGAAACTCCCCCAGAAAAGTAAAGTAATATTTTAGAAATTGATATGCATTACGTTATTTAAATGTGAAGTTTTTCTTTGTTTTATTACATTGTATGCTTTACTTTCTATCAAGTTATTTCAGTATTCATTTAGTTCCTATATTCAGTTCAGTTGTTATTTCATTGAGTTTTTAGTACATATCATATATTTCATGTATTGAGTTTTTAGTACATATCATATATCCAAAAAGGCCTTTGAATATTAACTCAACATAATTATTATTATTATGAGCACTATGCGTGTTTTGAGAGTATTAAACATCTATTTAGGTAAGAGCTTAAGACAACCAAACCTTATAAACAACACTGCTAGTGTAGATAGGATTGTGTCGTTAATTTGGGCAATTCCTCACAAACCTCGTAGAGGGATTTTTAGATGGATTCATAAGTTGAGTTTTTTTGTCCTATGCCCAGGCAAGGTAAATGATGGTTCCGGCAACGTGGGCAAGACATTGTACCCTTATGAGACTCATAGTGATAGTTGTCGTATATAGAAACTCTCCCAGAAAAGTAAAGTAATATTTTAGAAATTGATATGCATTACCCTATTTAAATGTAAAGTTTTTCTTTGTTTTATTACATTGTATGCTTTACTTTCTGTCAAGTTATTTCAGTATTCATTTAGTTCCTTTATTCAGTTCATTTGTTATTTCATTGAGTTTTAGTACATATCATATATTCCATGTACTGACACGATGTTGTATCATTTTATAATGTAGATACAAGTGTTTAGGATCATCAATAGGCGCTCCATTAAAAATACGTATTCATCAATTTCTGGTGAAATCTCCTTACTTTCAGAGGACTCCAGTCTTTATAATTTATTAGTACTTTTAAGGTAGTCGTGGATTTTTTCTCGGAACCTATCTTCAGTTAGTAGAAGTTTCACTAATAGACAAAGTTAGAGAGTTAATTTTCAGACAATTTATGAGATTTAGTTTATTATTTTAAATGCTCGCCCCCTTAGCTTAAGCTTTCGTATGTTGTTTTCAGTCTTTCTCTAAGTAAGGCAGGCCAAGATCTCCGCTTGAGGTCTAGCAATGATCTTCGAGTGTCGGTCACGTCCAGGGTGTACGCTCAGACATGACATCACGTTTCATGATAAGTCTCGGATTGGGGTTGAGAGTGTGTCTAGGGTCTCGAGTTGGAGTCAAGGTAAGAAATCAGGTCTCGAGCTAGGGTCGGGAGTCAAGTCTTGATTTTAGAGAGAGGGCTGAGAGATGAGGTCAAGATTGGGGTCAGGAGTGAACATGTGTCTCGAGTCAAATTCTTGGTCTAGTTGGGATGGTAAGGTTGAAGAAAAATTTTAAAAAATATTTTACTATACGAACAGAGGTCAGTATCCTTTTATGGAGGAAAATAAGTCAATTTGGAAAACATTTTCCATAACATTTAAGCCACCAACAAATGAGAAACTTTGATAGTTTTCTTTAAAATATTCTCTTTCCTGCCAAACGCACCCTAAATAGCTTATTATTTCGTAAAATATGTAATTTTTATAAAATAAAGCATGTGTACGTAGTAAAATAAAATGACAAGAAAGAAAATAAGAGAGAGAGAGACACAAAATAGTAGTAATAGTAGTAGCAGCAATAACTTTTCTCTATTATTGAATATTTTTCTTTCACTTACTCTTTCCTTATGTTTCCTTACTTTTGTTACAAGAAAAGAGGGATAAATATAGTTATATATTCTTGGGCACCAAGTGTGATTAATGAATATTTTCTTGCCATGTCTATACTCTAATTACCAAGTATACCATATGCATGGTTAGGTTACAACACTTTGTTTATTGTATATACATTCATCTTACATGTAGTGTATAATGTGTACAAATATATTACCACAAAATATATGTATACATATGGACATCGATTTTACAATGTTTTATAACAAATTAACTTTACTAAAAGGACAAATGTATGGGAGAGGTGGTACTATAAGAGATCCAAACTTAAAAGATTCTCATTCTTCTATTATCATATCATAAATAATAAAATATTGGTTGGTTCACGAATTTCATAACCTCGAAACTATGGCTGCATACACAGAACCAAGCGAAAAACCAGTGCGTCAGCAGTCTTATTGTCTAATGTTGTTTTATTTATTACTTTTCAACTGTAGTTGTCTATTAAGAAACTATAAATAAAAAGGTAATTTTATTATATTATTCTTTGAATATGCTCTCTTTCTGTCTTATTTATATGTTAATTTTTACTATATCACCCTTTGATTATACTCTCTCTGTTTCATTTATATATTATTCTTTTCTATAAATAGCTGGATCACAATACTTGTTTTTTTTTATAAATTTTATGCATAAATTATCACATTTTGTCTATTATACCCTTGATAGAGTAGTTCATTAATTTTTGAAAATGTATTCATTATTTATCATAAAGTTGACTTAAGAAAATTAAATAAAAATAGAAGGATAAATTTATATATTTTCTTAATGTAAGTACAAAGTAAAACGATGACATATAAAATAGATCAGATTAATTAACAAATATAATATCTTAAAAAATCACTATAATTAGTGATAAAGGTAAATTAAAATTAAGTATAAAATTATTGATGAATTTCATAAAATAGAGTTATAGTAGAGTGGATAAGCACTACGGGAGTATTATATATACAACTACAAGTTACAACTAAGCACAAGTTTTAAACTACCACTTTGGTTTCCCACGATTGGCAGTTCAATTTACATGCAAATTGAGGCTGGTGAAACTTAAACAAAATTAAGAAAGAAAGAAAGGAAAAAAAATAATAATATATAGTTACCATCAAGTCAACTCTTTTTGATACAATAAATCATATCCGACAATGTCATGCATGTACAACATAAGAGAGGCAAAAAGAAGTTGAAGAAAAATTAATTAACCAGATAAGATGAATCAGTATATATACAAGGAGCGGCGTGGTTTACGTACTTTTGTTAAGATTTATAGAAAAAAATGCTTGGCTTTGAGGCAATTAAAGGTTCTATTATAAATATGAAAAATTTATGTTGTGTTTACCTCTATACATTTAGTGTTTGTGTTCTATTTTCTGTTGTTTCCCTATTAGCAAACCACTTGACTGTTCTCCTTGCAATTGGAAGCCAAAGCTTCCTCCTCCTTTCATCTCGAACTGAAAGCTCTCGGTTCCTGTTGTTGAATCTTGAATACACTATTATTTCTGACATGGATCTCTTCTCATCCTTTATATTGATTGATTGATCTTCTTCTATTACTCTGGATTGTTCGCAAGTTGTATCCATTGATGAGAATCTGTTGCTTGTTATGCCATTAAGCATTTCTGAATTCAAGAATATCAGGTCTGAAGAAGTGACATTGCTCCATCGATTCTTGAACACAACATCTGATACTATGATCCTATGATTGAACCTATCTAGTGCTTTTCCTTGTATTAGCAACTCTTCAGATTCATTGTCCTCCCTTTCAATATAGATTTCCATGTTTGATTCCTCATCTCTTATTGACTGACTCCGCAAGAATCTCAAACTACCTGAATAGGTAAGCAATGAAAGGTCTTCACAACTTATCTTATGCCTACAAAGAGGGCAGGTCGAATGTCTTTCCAGCCATTCATCAATACATTTAATGTGGAATGCATGTTTGCACATTGGAATCAATCTAAGAATTTCAATATCTTCAAATTTTGATAAACAAACACAACATTCAAGTCCTTGTTTTGATCCTCTTAGTAAAGAGAATCGAAAAATAGGGAGTGATTCCACCACAGTTTTATCGATACCTGAGGAATGAGACACTGATCTAACAAGCTGTCCCCCATCATCAGAAGATGTCCTATGACAAAACTTGGCATAGAAGAGTATAACAAAAGTTAGTGAAAACATGATGAAGAGGACAACAATAACAACAGCAAGACTTGGTTGGAAACTGCTAACAACATCTTGTGAAGAATAAGTTGGCAAATCTTCAGCTTTTACATTCAATGAAAGTAGTAGTAACATTAAAATATTCTTGCGCATCTCTTTATTTGTTGTACATTTGTGAAGGGGAAGTTTTAAAATTGTTGGAATTATGTAAATAAAGCGATGGAAATGTGGGAAGGCTTAAACATGACACATATATTATTCTGCTAATAAAAAAATATTATCATAGCCAGAAGTTTTGTCCAAAAATAATGATGTGTCGATGTCAAAATAAAATAATATGGGTGTTCAAGAATAACTATGTCAAAATAAAACAATAAAGATGTCAAAGAATAATGGTGTGTTGTTGTAAAAAAAAACATACTATGCTATTTTGAGTTTGAATGCGAAAATTCTTTAATTCAAATAAATATTCATTACTACTGTTTTGTCAAAGAATGTCAAACTTTAAATATATATCCATTAGAATTTAACATTTATATAAGGATGTCCAGTTGGGGATGGCTATTAGCTACACCCCTGAATATCCACTTTCTTTTACCCCCTCAATTTTGACCACATCATCTCACTCATAGCTAGAGCACAACTAGCCAGGGCACAACTTTCTATATTATTTTCGGATTGTATTTCGAAACACAATGACTCGTCTATCAAAATAACGTTTTCTCAATAAAAAAAAAAGTCAGATAAAATGGTCCAAATATACACGTACGAAGTGTATCACTCTTAGAAGAAACAAAACGACAATAAATAAACAGAAAATCCGGATGGTTTTGTGCCAAAAGCACATGGATGAATGCTGAAGAGTAAAGAACTTTTTGCTTAGTCAACAGATAATGTATTGGTGCTTCTTTAATAATATAAGAAAAAAATAAAATTATTTTCTTGGGTTAGGTTGGATAACACATGATGTTAGTTAATACTCTTAAGCACGTCTTAATATGACACTAGTTGGCATATTGGTGATAGATTAATACTTTAGAATTGATATTCATAACAAGTATCCTCTCCATTTCATTTTAAAATAACAATGATGGTGAAGGTGGAGGGAGAATAAGTAAATGAGTTGACAACAATTCGACGGTTTTCTAAAGTTGACCGATTGATTGATGCGATAAGAGTTGATATTGAAAAGCGATATCGGCGTTGGCAGGGTATGCCATGCGACGTCCACCTCATTAATGTGTTAGTATTAGATGGACATCTTTTACAATGCTGATACAGGGGTATATTTGAACCATTGAAATAAATGTAAACCTATTTATATACAAATAGTATAGTGGAGTTTCAAAACGGGATTAAATCAGACTCAAATGATTTCTTTTAAAATAGGTTAAGACTTTAACGAGTTGAAATTTAACTCAATTCAAATAACCTTAAGTTCAACCCTTAAAATTCAAATAGATTACATATACTTGGACTCATTTTTGACACAGGAAACAGTAGCCAGCCCTTGTACTTCATATCACCCTTCGGGATTTGGGTTATAAACCATTTGATTGCAAGGAGGCAACTAATTTAGCATTTCAATCAACAGTATATGCAATAACTTTCTGTTTCCTTTAATAAATAAGGGTGGTGTCCAAATATTAACATGCTTAGCACTTGTGACACTCCTTTAGCTTGCACCATAATAACTGGAGCAACAAAAAAATGGACTTTCCTTGTCAATAGGCCTTCCAGTGCAATGAAATGGAAAGCCCCAAGAGAGTGCTTGATAAGCAAAAGGTCATAATTTTATCACAAATATTTGGCTCAGAGGATAGACTATTACAATTTAATGGGATATGTGCATATGCATATTAAGAAATCTGGACTCATTCATTTGAACTAAATAATATAAAGATGCTTCTGCTTCTTAAAATTTATATGGGGATACAATAAAAGCTTACTTCATTCTTCGACATATGATTTCATATACTAAATCAGCTTTGTGCAGAGGCAGCAGGATTGCTACTTGGAAACGATGAAACACCAGCACCACCTTCTTGACTAGTTTGCTCTTCGCTAGCATGCCGCACAAACTCTTCCGGTGACATGTGAGACCCATGACAAGCACAAACAATCCTGATTTGGGTGGGATTGTATCTATAAGTAACACCAGATATTGTTCTACCATTTGGACCTGGACCAGTTGTTGAAACCCATGGTAGATTCGGATAGGAACCAGATCCTCCAAATTTCAGATCTGCAGCAAGACCTGGCCTTATAGTTGCAAATTCTGAAGGAACTGCTTCAGCTCTCGGCTGCTCAGGAGGGTCTTTTGACCTGAAGCTTATGTTGCTACCTTTAACATTTTCTTCCACTCGAGAAGTGGAAGTTTCTTCCGCGTTATGCTGTCTCCCATTGCCTTTCACATGCTCCACTGCCCTCCCATCATATTGTACAGATTCAGAAGACTTGTGTGCAATAATCGGCAACGTAGCTATATAAACATACCAAGTAAAAATTCTTAGTCACAAAACTGGACAATTATTGAACTCAGAAATCATGCCAATTGATGCAGCAGTCTGCATAATATGAAATGCAATAAATTTGAAGTTTTGGGAACCTCTGGGCATCTCATGCAACAGATTAAAAGTTATATGAAATTTATGGTAAGGTTAAATCTATAAACTTCTAAATCAAAAGTAAAATTATGATAATACCCCTCTTGTCAACCTAAATACCCTACAATCTAACAAAAAAATGGAACAAAAATAATTCGTACTTGACATAAAGAGAAGTGACACAGCTGTTCAAAAGGAACAAAGGGTAGTTCTTGTAATCAAACAAAATCACTGTTACTAAGTAAAAAACCAAGCATCTCAAATTTCAATCTCGTACTTTTCTCCTACCAATTTTACCTCTTTCAAGTATTCTTTCAGTTAAAGCTGATAAGTCAAATGTAAAAAAAGTTATCGGGTTTATCAATATGGGTTATCTATTAACGGTTTTCAAACAGTTTTGTTTTGTAAAAAGGACAACTTCATATATCTACAACAAAGTAACTAGCGTACAACAAATATAGCCATAATTTTTTTTACATAAAAAGTAGCCCAAAATCAAAAACAAAACGCGAGGTTTAGCCACGCGAGAACCGCGGCTAAATGGGAGAAAACCCGTGGGTAAGCTGCATTTTTTGTATCTCAAGGTATTTCTCACATTGAAAAAATGAAAACAACGTGATTAAACAAATTTCTAACTCTTCCATACATGTAAAAAAAATAATTTCAGAATCAGAGATTCTTCCTATACACCAAAACCCAATTGCCCCCATATTAATCACTGATAACCTTCCTCCATATAACCTATTTCTCTCAAGGAAATCTTCGCAACCACTTCATAAGTAAGCTCTTGTCATGGTTTCCGTTTTCCCAAGTTTTTTATTTCCAGGCGTCCTTCCTTTTTGCTGCTAACTAAAGCACTCTAGGCAAGACTCACCACAAAGAGTTTTTGAACTCTATCCTAGGACTTCTTCCTAAGAGCATCTCTCCCAACATTTGCACATTTTAACAGCTAATGTTTACTGCATAAGCCACCTCACATATCACTCTTTAAAAGATAGAAGTTCAAAGGTTTAAGTCATCTGTGGCCCATTAAAGTTGTCCGCATAGACACCTTAACTAGGACTATTACCTATTAGACACTCTAATAATAACAGATATATATCTATTGAACATAAAATAAAAACTTGCTTTAAAAATGTTATTTGTGTGATTCCCACACACTGTCTTAAAATAATCACAAATCAAAATACAACACATGGCACATGGATCCAATCTAGCAATAAAATATAAATTCTCAATTTTAAAAAATGAAAAACTTTCCAACCTTTATTTAATGTTCCACAAAATTAGTTGACAAGAAGATTTGAAAAAACAAAAGGAAAATCTCCCCCACCCCACCCACCTAACCCTTTGCCGTTTCTTCCTTCTTCCCTGTGACCTCGCCAACTCGCCATCAATTCCTCCAGCGATAACAAACAGAACTAAAAGAAACAACCCCAGCTCAAATTCTTTCTCTTGTCACCCATTATTCTCTATTCCTTTTGAGATTTTTGTTTAAATGAATCGCGACAAAAAATTATTTTGAAATCTGCGACGAAGAGAAATCAAAAGTATATTGAATTTTTAATATCATTTTTAGTAATTTTAATGAGTGGCAATGTTTGTTCAATTGGAGTGATCGAAAATAGAGATGGACGAATATGGATCAATTCTTTTAACTTCAGTGTTCAAATTTTTGCAAATTAACTTAGCAGATTCAGATTATTTTTTACAAAAAATGAAGAAAAAAAACTGAAACAGAAGGCTGAGAAGTTAAAATCTTCAGAATGATCGGTGGAAGAAGATGACAACTGGTACATGGGTGTGGTGTGGTGTGGGGTGGGTTGTTTTCTTTTGGGAAAAAATAATGTGGAAATAATTTTATTTTTTTAATTATTTAGGTAATGCAAGCCAAGTATCAATATATAGGTACCAACTTATCAAAAAATAAATACAAAATAGAATCAGAAGATATTCACGCGCTTGTAGCAGTGATATACACATATTTTGCCACATCAACATTTTGTGTTTAATAGACACACATTTTGAACAATTTAAGTATTCGATAGGTACAAGTCTTAGTTAAGGTATCTAAGTAAATTATGCGGACAACTTTAAGGGGCCACCGATGACTTAAGCCTAGTTTAAAAATGTAGAGCATGCATAAGTCCATATAAAGAGCTTAGCTACACATGCGTTTTTTTACTAGTTTAATCAAGACATTAAAGTCGTTAAAAAGCTTACAAATAAAATATGGAGTTACCTTTCCCCAACATTCATGACCTCTATTGTCTTTTGTCCTAGTTATAGAATTCTATTTTTTCCCCTTTGGATAGAATCTGGTTGTGTTGGAAATATCCTTCTAAATGCAAAATCTAACTGAACTTAGGGCAAGTAGAAGCAAATAAAATATGGAGTTACCTTTCCCCAACATTCATGACCTCTATTGTCTGTTGTCCTAGTTATTGAATTCTATTTTTTCTCCTTTGGATAGAATCTGGTTATGTTGGAAATATCCTTCTAAATGCAAAATCTAACTGAACTCGAGGCAAGTAGAAGTGGTTGATTCTATAATACCAAAAAATTAGGATTACTACTTAATCCAAGTCACTAATATTTAATTTTAGTTTGACAAGGATAGTAAAAAGCAATGTTGCTCGGACTCTTAAAAAATATTGATAGGTATGTGTTGGATCCTCAATAGTATATACTTTAAGGATCTGACACGGGCGCGGCAACATTTTTGGAGAGTCCGAGCCACTTAAGTAAAAAGAGTCTCTTACACAAATGTCCCTAGCCATACCATTTACCAGATGAAGCTGGGGGGATTTTCCATTTCATTAATCATGTCAATTTAGGATCTTGAGTAACACAATGTTCAGGACTACAACGTTTTTTTATAATTGTGGTGTCCAGGAAAGCTCGTGAGCACCTAATCCAATTACACGAGGTACCTGCTAGCTCCCACCAGCATGTGTTTTTGGTTTTGTACCAAGACTTGGACAGAAGAAATCACCTCTTTCTTTTTGCTTATAGTTCCCAACCCACTTCACCGACCAATTGGTCACACCTTTGGATGCCCCCAAGACTACAACTGGAAGCATAATACACCCAGTTGTCCAGGAAAAAATAATTGAAAGAAAGAAGGTTTAAAAATTACTAAATTTTTACTGAACCTAGTCTAGTGCCCATTAAAGGAAAATATACAGATCAAAAAGTATTTCAACCTCTAAACAATACACATCTAAATCCTTTGTTTTTCTTTGGGGAACTTCCAATACAGGACGGTCTCTCACAATGACTTATTGAAGTCTTCATGGACTTTGAATCCCTGAGGACAACCATAACGTGTAGGTTAACTAGGAGCGAAAATTTATTGCATATGCTACAAATATTACTGGGGCAATTTCAATGGAATGCAGATAGTTAAAAGACAACCTGAATTCCCCTCCATTTCCTAGGAACCCATCTTGCACTCTTAGCTACTAGATTTTGTCTCACTCATCTACCATCAAGGGAAATCATCAATAGGCGTATCTTTGCCTTTGCTGCAAAACCTACAAATACTTTGAACATTTTGTTGTCCTTATCACACGCCAATTTATGATCGATGATCTCTACGTAGCCATGTTTGGGAACTATACAGCAATTTCAACCGCTCAATTAACTTTAGTTCTTGTAAGGTAGGATATACTTGCACTTTTATATTTTAGTCTGCATTATATCCAGCTAGTATGGAACAGATTACTTTTCACTGTGCTTGTATAAACCATTTTTATTTTAAATTTTAAAGCAGTATCTTTCCCTTTGATTGGTAAAAGCACAAATGCATATATGGCTCTTAAACAGTATACAAAGAAGTGGTTTTAAAAAAGAAAAAAAAGCATAAACGTTGGTCCATAGTTCCAACAGTGTTGCTCACTGGGAGCAATGAAGTTGTCCTCTGATGAATGTCCAATGACCAGGGAAGATCTACAGGTCATTTAACCACACCTATTCACGACAGGGAAGCATCTCTTGAAGAGTTTCAAGGAAGTAGAATGGACACCTTAGCTATTTCCTAAGCAAAAACAGGAAATACACAAGATTCTAAGGACTGTGATTTGATTATTCCAAAAATCTTCTTTCTATTTTTGTAACGTGCTATGGGTCCTCAAATCCTCCTAAATAAAATTTAGCTCCAAGCAAATGGTAAACATGCATTGAAGAAGAAAGAAAATTCATAGAGTTACTAGGAAAACCTTGAGAAATATTTGGTCCATCTTTATGCTTGTCTGAGCCCAAGGAACCTCGTCCATAGGAAGGGTGAAGCTGCTGAAGATGAGAAGCTGCACCGCGGGAATTATCCTTCTCCAATGTTGGCAGCTGTATGGAAGAGTAGCCAAACATCAATGGCAAATTAGTAGGTATGACAGGCTGGGCTCCAGGTCTATCTCCACTAGTGGTAGCTATTACTTGCATCATGCCAGGAACTGCATAACCAGTCGTACTTGCTGTATTACCAGGGTTAGAATCTCTCAGAGGCATAGAGTATGGTAGGTTCATGATGTTTATTGATTGGCCTTGGAATGGGGTACTGTATGGCGTATTACCGAACTTAACATCCTTTTCAGAAGAAATGGTAAACCTTCTCTGTCCAAGTAATTCTACACCACTTGAATCAGAAACACCACGAAGCTCCTTATGAACCTCAGCACTACTTCCAACAAATCTTTTAGAGTTCTCATCATGCTGCAAAATTTGCCTGGAAGTTGAACCCACAGTTTCAGAATCAGCTACATCATCATTTTCTGCAGTCGAACCATCATCTGTTGTTATTGAAATGTGTGATGCCCTTGTCTTGTCATGCATATCGACATGATGAGCTTCTCTCTCATGCTTCTTTTGTTGACTTGACTCCCGGAACAAATTTTTACGCTTTTCACCCACTTCAGTTCTCCTTTCTTCTTCAACTTCTATAGGTCTATTATCATTTGGAACCCAGAATCCTCCACTATTTAACTTTTTAGAAGCATCTGCATCAGCACTAGTGCTGGAAAGCAAGTTCCCACCATGTTTTGTTGAATCACTTCTCTGAGAACCGACACCACAATCATGCTTTTGGCTGCTAGTGCCTCCATCCAGAAAGTTCTTGAAATCATTAATCACTTTTCCATCTCTATCAACTTCCTCAACCTTGGAATCCGATGAGCTCCCACTTTTACTTTTCTCTGACGCAACCACCCCACCACAGGGCAGGCCCAAGCTTAGATCAAGATCATTTTCGTCCATTCTAATCAAACACAAAACACATTGACCAGATTCACACGTGAAACTTCAGTTCACTCTGCCACCAAAAAAGAAAGAAAGTTACACACTGCAATATTTTACTACTTATCTTGAATGGAAGAAACTTTATTCAGATAGAATATCCGTTGTAATATCTGTTCATGTGAACCTTGAAGTCTAATAGACAAGAATAAAAGAATCCCTTGGTCTTAATTTGCTTGACCTACTTCCCTTTTTAGTCGGCTTTAAAAAGGATGAACCTTTCCTTTTCTGTAGCACCTCTTTAATTTAAAGCACAAGATTAAAGGGCATTTTGTTACATTTTGAGATATATTTAATTTTAGACCACAAAATTCAGAAGTCTTATTTACTTTCTTAAACTCCATCCCAAATCAAAATAGGCCAAACAAACTGAAAAGGAGGGAGTATTGTTTATCAGTCGACCAAGGAAAATAGATATTAGTTATATGTCAAAATAAAATTTAGAAGCCATGCTAACATATAATAGTACATAAAGGCACAAAAGAAGAAGCTCAAAACAAAATGCAGAAAATAGCCTGATTGTTTTTTCTTGAAGTTCCGTATGCTGTGTCAAACCAACACAAGAAAGCTGAAAATGTTTGCATAAGTGGTTTGTCTCAGTCTATGATTATTTAGTTTAAGCAGACCCATTAAAACAAGTGAGATCAAAACTCATCTACTCACACTTGCTAGGGTAGCATTGCAACTCCTCTAAATAGGTAATGACCAAAAATCCAATCTAAAGACGGTGAACTGATGTTTAGAAAGAAGTGGAATTCAAGAGGACAGGATATATTGAAGATAGAATCAGTCAAAATAGGAGACCTCCTTTCAAACTAGATTGGAAACAAGAAGGTTATCAAGGAAACCATAGCAAAACAATCAATAAGGTAAGAACATGAAATAAACCAAAAGTTCTTTAGCTTCTGTGGATCATCCATATCTATTCCACAGAATTTCGGGAACTACTTCTTTGGCCTTCAACCTACCATAACCCGGAATAGAAGTACTATTCCGGGAACTAGTTCGTATTTACACCTACCTAAACCTTGAGAAAATCATGTAGCTCAATCAACAGATCTCAATTCATCAACTAGATCTAAAAGTGGAAGTAAAAGAAACAGAAAGCCTAGAAAGAAGAGTTAAACTAGTCATCTTTAGGGACAAATAGTAACAACTCTATCTACATATAGATCTGCCTCTAACACACGTTTTGCACAAAACCACTAGTATAAAGATTTACTCACTGAAAGCAGAGATACAAAGTAGAAACCTAACAAACTAGTTCAAATTCCAGATGATGCACTAAAAATACTTGGAGAAAGCTTCAAAATTTAGAAAAAATTATGGGAATTCACATACAAAGGATATATACCTGATGAATAAAACTGTGAACCACAGACGGAGCTGATGAAAGTGGACGTTGCCGCCGCGGTGAAGACGAGTCGACGGCTAGCAGTAGGTGGGATGTGGGCGGAGTGACAAAATGTGTATGCTAAGACCTGACTCACCAATTTTTTTTCTTTCCAATTTAACACATCGAGAGCACGTGGTTGATATGTAACTTTAATTTACCTCACTTTCCATCCTATGCTATTTCTTCCACATGTTATATTCACTACTCAATACTTCATACTTGAGAAAAATGCAAATCAAATATGCTAGTAAATTTTATTATTACTAAAATGGTAGATTTGTAACTTTTTCTAAAATTTCTTTTTCTAAAAAAAATAGGTTGGTTTTATTATTCTATTAATTTTATTTTACGTATAGAAATTTGATATCTAATTGTGATGTCAAAAGTTGTTGCTACAATGTTCAATACCTGGTGTTTCTAATAATTTATTGTTGCAATACTTTTATTAGATTATCTCTAATTCAATACCAAATTTTATATTTGGTGCTTTGAGCTCCAACGCATGCTATATTAGGTGTGTGAATAATATTACCCGAAATTTAATGTGATACTATTCATCACACTAAAAAACTTTTTGAATATTATAATATTATTTCATTATACAAATTTTTAATTAAACATAATACAAATTGTAATATTATAATATTATTTCATTATACAAAATTTTAATTAAACATAATACAAATCGTATGTTTTAATTAAATATCTTGTATATTTAATTATTTTTATGTAATATTTTATAATACTAATTTTAGATATAAAATTTAGCTTTTTTGTAAATTAAGTTTTCTATCTATGACTTTTTTTAAAAATTAAATTTATGTTAATTGTACTGTAAATTATATAAACTACAATTAATCTTCACAAAAATTAAAAATGCAAACATATAAATTTTTAGACAAATAATACAATTGAGGAGTGTGATCTTAACGCACCAATTCAAGATGTGCCGGAAGGTTCAACTCCGACCGTAGAAATGACAATAGATGAAAATTATCAATTTTAACAATTTTTAGCTCGATATAAGAAAATAAAGGACAAAAGCTCATTTAAACTACGTAATGCATTGATAGAGCATTTATGGAAGCACCTTAGTGAATATTTATGTATAATTTAAAATAATTAATTATATAATGTTTATCTAATTGTATTTCATTAATGATTTGACTTTTATTTGTATTATTCATTATTATGTATAACTATAATATTTGCTAGCAAATTATATTATTTAAAAAATTATGATAAAAATAATTTTATATAAAACGATTATAAAAGGAAATAATATGAAGCATATATGATGAATGTTTTGGAAATAATTTCTTTTTATGAAATAAGAAAATATAAATAAAATAAGAAATAATATAATAATAATGAAGAGATCTGTAAAATTTGGTGCAATGGGTTGGAGTTGATTACACAAAATTTGGTGTTGACAACAAATATGATGTTTGGATTGGAGATGTCCTTATAGCCTTGATTCGGTCAACAAAGGGTTGGTTGATCAACTTATCCAAGATGGCATGATGCAACAATCGTTTGATGTAGAAAGAATGTTGTTAGATAATATGATCAAGATAAACCGACCATCGCACACTAGAGAAGATTAAGTATATCCTCTTTAATGGAGTATGAGTAAAGAACAAATGGAAAAGAAACATGACCAGATAAAAATATGACCAAAATGATGATACAACTCGATTTTCTATCCAAATATGTCATGGGAGGAGGTTTCAAAACGGTAAATGAAATTGAAACATGCATTGGTTCGTGTCAAGAAAATGTCAAATTTGAGGCATTGTGTAATGAGAAAAATAAATTAAATGAGGAACCAAGTAGGAGGTACTCATCTGAATTATCTATGGTTGAGTAGGAACCAAAATTGGAACAAGGATAGGAATAGTGATTGGAGAGATAGAGGTGGCAATAGAAAGATCGTGAAGATGAAAAGGATAGATACATCCTACCTAATTATTGTTCCAAGCTGAAAGATGTTAGGCCAAAAGGAAATCGAACTGATGTCTGATGATATGCTAACAAGGATCTTTAACAAGACTGAAGGGACCGATGTGGTGTTTAAGGATTTGAAAAATGATTTCTCCACTTTGACACAAACAGTTACTTCTTTTATGTTAATCAAGCAACTGGAGACTCAAAGTGCTAGATCTCTGCCCATTTAAATCCAAGGCAAAAGAGAATTTGCCTAGTTGCATAACGTCGTTAATTAAAGTGTTGCTTGGGAGGCAACACAACTTTATTTTTTTATTTTTTTTCAATAAGGTGTTGATGGATTAGTTTTTTCTACTATATTAAGCTTTTACTTGAAAATTGGATACAACCTTCTTGATATTGAAGGTTTTGGGGATTGAAATCTAACAATTTCAAATAAGTAGGTATTAATAAGGATAATAACTTTGATATATTTGTATCACATTATGTTATGAGCAGCTTATCTCCCTATTCTTAAGAGTGTGCAATGTATGGATGATTAATTTGCCTATTGAATGTTGTTTAATTGCTTATTAAATGTTAGATTGATTTGTGTTCAGTATCTCTTTATGTTCCATCTACAACTTGATGTCACAAACTCTTAATTACTCCATATCTCTAATGTTGCTTGTGAAAGATCATTAAAATGAAAGAAATTTTGTACTTTTAGTTTTAAAATTTTTATGACATTACATTTATAATATTAATCTTCTTGTTAAATATGCAATTCATGATGTTTGTACTTTTAGGGGTTGTTTAGTACAGTGTATTATCAAAATTAATGTATGTATTAGCTTTATGTATAGTGATACCTTGTTTGAAACACTTTTTTCATGCTCTAATGTATACTAGAGAACATATTCGAGCTTCGCACGATGATTAATAAATATGTATCATGATATTTTTTTTCTTTTGGATTAATTATATGATATTATTATTTAAGGAAATTATTATCTTTTCATTTGAAATGATGATACTTGATGAAACCTATCAACTTTGTTATCTATTTAATAAGAATAATATACTATTAATGAATAAGTCAAAAATATATGCTCTATTAAAAAAATACTTTCTTTTTATTGCTTAAATATATAAAGATGTACGTAATTAATGGCAGTTATTAGGTTGATGGTTAGAGAATATATTCTGTAATCAGAAATTGTTGTATCTCCTTATTACGTAGAAGTCAATACATATAAAACGTCATATCATTCTTTGTTGGTTTTATCTTTTGAAGTTCGTCTGTATGTATATTTTTTCAACTGTTCTTGCTTCTTTCTCAAATATGCAATTCGTTGTTGCATAATATTTTCATACACCAATTTAACCGATTTGCTTGAGTCTTCAATTGTATTTGTATTATAAAATAAATATTTAGAAGAAGAATTTAATATAGTTATGAATATTATCATTAATATTTTACCTTGACAATTTTATGTACTGATTATTTGGGGGAGATCCTTATTTGTATTATCCATTATAGTACTTCTATATAAATATTTGTCAAAGTGAAAGTGAGGATAAAGTATTGCAATAAAAGGTAAGTTTCATTGAACATTGAATACCATTTTCAATTAATCAGTATGAGCAGATAATGACTATGAAGATAAATGGTGTATGTGGATGTTTATAAATTTTTTGTGGTATTTATACAACCTTTTTTCATTAATTGGTTGTGCTACCATTAAATTTTTTAAATGATGAATTAATTCTTACGATTTTTAAATGTTTGTGTGAAGTTTAGTGTGAAGATTTTGTAAATAATTGAAGGATTGTTGGGGATTTGGATTGAATTTGTTTTTATTATGATAGATATGTTATGAATTTATTATGGAGATCATGTAGATTAGGTTTTAAATATTTTAAAATTAAATAATAATTGTACAACTTTTTCCATGGTTTATGATGTTGATTTAATTCTTTTAATTAATGTGACTATTTTTTAAGTGTCAAATTTGTATGTAAAGATAAGTGTCAATCTAAAATAAGGCATAAAGTTTAAATTTTCTATTTGTTTTAAGTATTGTGAGAGAGCTTGAGAGTATTTGTAAGAGGAGAATATATGAGGTGCATAGTTGCTTGTGTTGTTGATTTGATAAATAAATAAGGGATAATGCACAAGTACCCCGTCAACCTATGTCCGAAATCTCAGAGACACACTTATACTATACTAAAGTCCAATTACCCCCTTAACTAATTTTATTAATAATTTCTACTCCTTTTCAGCCTACGTGACACTATCTTGTGGGTCCAACATTGGTTGACTTTTTATTCAAGCTAGTGCCACGTAGGCCGAAAAGGGATAAAAAATTACTTATAAAATAAGTTCAAGGGGGTAATAGGACCTTAGTATAGTATAAGCGTGTTTCTGGGATTTCGGACATAGGTTGAGGGAATAATTGTGCATTTCCCCTATAAATAAAGGGAAAGGTGGACTAAAATTGCTTAGTATGTGTATATAAAGTAATCCATACACATTAGGACATAATATGACGTTAAAATAAGTTTTGAGATTTAAAATATTTTTTTATAGATAAAATGTTAAATACTACTAAGATTTTCAATGATATTCGTGGATGTAGTTTAACTTCAAGCATTCATCAATGAAAACTCCAACGATAGGAAGTTAACTCGAGTCGATACCATCATTACTATATGTGAATAACCATGTGGATTGACCAATTTATAACATGTTTGTTCTGCATCATGGTTGAGATCTTTCTTTCACCTGTAAATCCAGCCACCTACATGAACATTATTCGGTGGAAGAAGCATATCAGTACCTTTACTTTGTGTTTCAAAAGGTGGATTCATAACCATTGTTTCAATAATCTGACCTACATATAGTGTAATATTAATAAGTCGAGAGAGAGGGAGTTTTTTTTTAGCTGAAAAAGTGAGGTGAAAAAGATACCTTTCCATTTTAAGTTGTTGATGTCACTTTGAATAAATTTCATGTCTAGTTGCAGATGAAATAGTCTGAGAAATGAATGAAATACAAATTAGTACAAGTGAAATTATAAATGAAATGCTACATGTATTAACTAAACAATGTAAAAACACCCACTCTATGACACATGTATTAGTCTATCCACTATATTGTCTGATCCACTACATTATAAAGTGTTTCAGACAGTTATTACATATGAAGCTATTTCAATATATTCCTCCGCAAACTGATATTTATTCCAA